CCCACAAACAAGCTTTGAGTTGCCTTTTAGCCAGGTCAGGGAGGTCCGCTCCGATATTTACTCCCCTGGTGGGGTCTTCTTCAAGGGGAACCAACTTGAAGTCGCCGTCTGGGATAGGCCGTGCGTGACTTGGGAGCTGGTTATGGCCAACAGAGGAGGTTGACCCTTCGTCTTTGACCATAGGCTCCTTCCCCTTATTCCTTTGCTTGACCCTGTCCTCCATGGAGAAGCGATTGTTGAGGTCAATGGTGTCGACCCTTGGTAGTGGCCTGGATTCCTTGGAGCTAGAGGGCAGCGTGGCTCGAGTGGCTGTTCGAGGCTGGGCGTTGATGGAGAAGAGGCCCTTTGCAGAAGCTTTGAAGCATCTCCTGGCTGCTTGGATGTCCCCATGAAGAGTGACGACCACACCTTCGGTCGTGTAGTATTTCATCTTGAGATGAATGGTGGAGGGGACCGCGACGAGCTTAGTGAGTGTGGGTATCCCGAAGATGCATTGATAGAGGGACGGGAAATCCACCACCAAGAATTGGATCTTGATGGCCCTGGCTGTTACCCCCTCCCAAAGGTGACTATCAGCTCCACGTACCCCCATGGCTTCGTGCTGGCCCCGTTGAAACCTTGAAGATCAGAGCCCACGTAGGGGGTTAGATGGCTCTCGTTCAGCTGCAGAGTGTTAAACAGTTGGGCGTATATAATGTCAACTAAACTGTCCTGGTTGACCAAAATGCGACGCACATCAAAGTTAGTCATCCGAGCTCTCACGAGTAGTGGGATGCTCGAATTCGGGGCTCCTCCTGGTAACTCTTCTCTGTAGAATGAGAGGGGGTGGGATCCTCCTCGAAACTTATAGAGTGTGGCGTCCATCTCAGATATGGCCTCGATGAGTTGGTCGAATCTTCTCTTCACTGATCTGACTATATGCCTGTTGAACCCTCCGCCGGAAATGACCATGGCTGCGGGGAAGGATTCCCAGGACTGTGGGTGGAGAAGTACAGGGGGACATCCTCCATATCCGGAAAGTAAAAGTCTTTCGACTATGATATGCTCAAGGCGATCAGAATGGTGTCGAGGTCGGGGGATTTCTTCCCTTCTTCGACATTCTTTGTCTCTGGTGCTTCGTCACGGGCGGCCTCCTTTTTCTTATATTGCTTTAGGTTCCCGTCTCTGATTAATATTTTGATTGCATCCTTGAGATGTATGTAATCTTATGTGTTGTGGCCGTGACTCTTATGGAACCTGTAGTACTTACTCTTGTCGGTTCCTAGCTTCGACGGTGTTTGTCGGGGGAAGCGCACCCCGACTTGCTTGAACTCTGAATTAGCGCATTCGGAAAGAATACGCTCTCTTGAGGTTGTCAGGGGGGTGTAGTCATGGAAACGATCGTCCGAACCCTTGTAGTCTTTAGGATCACGGGACCTATCCTCCCATTTCTTCTCCCCCTGACGGGATGTCGAGGGCTCATCATCCTTTGAGGGTCTGGCACTTTCCCTATTCCTGGATTCCCGGGCGTTGTTAGTCGCCTCCTTCTCCTAGTACTGTATATATGCCTGGGCCTTCAGGAGAAGGGAGTCGAGCGTGGCTGGTGTTTATATGCCCACAGCCTTGGCAAAGTCGCTGCAGGGACGGAGTCTGCGCTCGAGCAGGTATTTCTTCATGTTTTCCGTTGTCTGGACCTGGACCATTTCTTTGTTAAAGCGCTTAATGTACGCTCGCAGAGATTCATCTCCGCCTTGTATGATTGCCTCGAGCGAAGCTTCTGATTTAGGATGTTGGCGGGAAGTAGTTAAATGTCTTGAAAACATTTTCTCAAGTTGTTTCCATGAGGTGATGGATTCGTCGGGAAAACTTTTGTACCATGTCGTCTCCCCTTTCCTAAGAGTATTCAGGAAGAGTATGCATTTGATGGCGCCCCGGACCCCTCTGTAGTCGAGGAGCGCATCAATGTTCTCAATATGCTCGTCAGGATACGTCGTGCCGTCGTAGGTCCCTAGAGTGGATGACTTCTCTAGGTCTACAGGGAGTGGAGCTTCAGTGATCTCCCTGGATAGTAGGTCGTGGGGCTCGTCATCTTCACTGATGACGGGAGATGGAGAAGGAGAGTGATAATTTCTCCCCCGTTAGTCGTTGCGGTCCCGTCGAGGGGAGGGGCTCCTTCGCTTTTGCTTTGGCTCGGGAGAGGGCAATCGAGCGCGGTCGATCTTCCTGTTGTCCTTCCTTTTCTTGAACGAAGGGGAGTCTTGATCTCGAGTAGGAGGTGTGTGATTGCGTTTCTTAAAGAAAGAAACCTCGTGCCTTTCCTTCTTGGGCGGTGGACCACGCTTGGGTGGTGATGCGCTAGGGGAACTTCATCTTCGGATCCTCCGGGGAGGAGATCTTGAATGTTTGTTTTCCAAGGCTCATATCCTCCGATTTTGTTGAAGGATGAGGGTGTTGGTCTGATTTAGGGCAGCGAGCAGTGCTGCCATGGCCGGATCGGTGTTGACGGGGATAGGGACCGGTTGCAAGATTTCTGGGAGTTCCTCAGCGGGATTCTTGGAATGCCCTTCGTCCAAGAGTTGATCGTCACCATGCCGGGCATCGGCAGAATCAGGGGATGCAATTTATCTGTCACGGGGGCCCAGGTTGTCCTTAAGTCGAGGGTGTTCCTGGCCTCCATCAGTCTTGCGAATGGGGGAAAGGATGGTCTTTCGGGACATGTATAGATCATTATGGTCGGCCATGATATGAGAGATGAATCTTGAAAGAAGAGTTGCTTTGATCTTAGGCTCCGAGGGAAGAAAGATGGGGATAGTAGGTTCCCACCGACGACGCCACTGATCTTGCGGTTGACCAGAACCTGGAGAGTGTCCGGAGGATGATCTTCAGTCAGGCAGAGGAGAGAGGGGGTTGTACCTGCAATGTACTCCAACGATCAAGTAAGAGCGGGAGCAAGAAGGCACTGGCAGAATATTAGGTAGTGAGTAGTAAGTATGTGATACCTGGCCCTCACATGTGTGAGGGTTTATATAATGCCCCTGACGCATGGCCATTGGTTCCTGGTTTCCCGCCAAGATATGCGGGTCCAAAAAATCAGGTAACTTCCAGGACTTAGTCAAACTGGGTAAATGTGCACGTAACTAGCCGTTAGTTTTGGGGGAGGGCTGGTTACAGGCGTCCCCTGGTCGGTCCTTGGAGGCCCGCACGACGTTGATGTCGGGCAGGCTGAGGAGATGCTCGAAAGGCATCTTGGGTTGGTGCTAGGCCAGAAGGGAAAGGGGGGAGGCATTGTCTGACACGTGCGAGCGGTCTGGGCAACGGCCAGTGATTGGCACTCGTGAGATTTCTTAGACTGGGCCCAATCAAATTGTCGGGCCAGTCCAGAACATCAAGTTATCTTTCTTGGAGACTTCTGAACCACTTAAGGCAGACACTATACAATTAGTCTGGGAAGCAGTAGTTGTCGTCTTCTTTGGCTTCTGATATTGCATACTGATATGACCCTGTTCACCACAATTGAAACAAGTTGGACTGTTGTTCTTACACTCAGAAACACAATGGTATGTCTTTCCATATTTGAAACATCTCAAAACTTTATCAGTGCAATCATTAGCACGGTGGCCCTATTCGCCACACTTAAAGCACTTGACAGGAGCGAGTGCTCCTCCCCCAATTGTCTTCTTCTCATCTGAAGCCTCCCGCTTCCTTTTGTCAGTTGGAGCACTATACAATTTTTCACGATCCCAGTTCTTCCCTTTCTTATCACTAAGATTCTTATAATAAGAAGATTTTCCTCTACTATCTTCATCAAAATTCAACACTTGTTCACTAACACCGAAAACTGGAGAATCTCCTGATACCCAATACCCTACTAAACCTCTGGACGTAATCCATTTCAAACTCGATGCAATTAGACACTTCAGTTGCCAAATTATTATAATGCAAACAAAACTTCAATAATTCCTCAAATTTGGCAGCATACTCAACAATAGTCGAATTCAATCTCTTTCTTACCACTTACATCCTTAGGAAATTACTTCTCAAAAAAGCAGCTTTGAACACAGCTTAAGTAATTTTTGTATCCAAAATCTCCATCCTTTGGCGTGCACTATCCCACTAGTTTTCAACCTCTCCTTCCAGCATATGAGTACCAAATTGTACCTTTTAAACCTCAGTGAATGCCATCACTCGAAAAATCTTCTTTATCCCCTTAAGCCATATTTGTGCCCCATCTGGATCATGCCCGCCCTTAAAGATCGACAGGTTGTTCCTCTGAAACCTCCCTAATGCACGAAACCCGTCATTATCCCTAACATTCTGATTATGTGGACCATGTTGGTTCTGCAGAGCTTGAGTCATTGCTTCCAAATCCTGAGCAATAACATTATTGTTTCTTCCTCCAGCCATAACTCTGCATGTAGACAACCAACATTAGAAAAATCAACATATCGATAGTCTTTACACACTAATCGACTAACAAAGAACATACTTCGTATAAAAATCTGACCGGAAGAACCGACCTGCTCTGATACCACCAATATAACACCCTAAACCCTACAATGCAATTAATATATAATTTAATTATAAATATAATCATGTAAAGTGTCACACACATAAAATAAAATAAAAACACATATCATATTCATAACACAAAGACTCACATCCCATAACCAAACCAACAATTAAATACATCATAAAAATACATAATTAATTAAATAAAATATAATATAATACCCTATACGAATAACAGAATGTTACACATATGCCTCTAATAAAATACGAATAACAGAATGAACCCATATTAATAGAACTCTTGCTGAAAACTTAGGACACTGGCTAAACAATCATTAAAAATGAATAAAACTATTTAAAAAAAAACAACCCTTAAAGAAAAAAATAGGAGTAGTGTAAAACAAATAAATAAATAAATAAATAAATAAATAAACCAGAGAATAATGACTCACTACGAACGGCGAGGGTAAATTCAATTTGAGAATACAGAAAACTGTATCATACTCATATCAATGGCGGTTCCTGGGCGGCGCAACGGTTTCAACGACGACGATGAAGAATCCAACGGTATTTTCGAAGAACAATCTCTCGCCGTTGAAGAAACCGAGACTCCTCCTCATCTCCGTGACCTCTCCCATGCCGCTCAAACTGGCGACCTCACCGCCCTCCGCCTCGCTCTCGGTATCTCATCTCTTCTCCATTCTCCTTTTCCGCCGCATAATTGCCTAGTCTCTGTTTTCCTTCAATATTCACCTCTCTGTTAAACCCTAGAATCCAAAACCCTAATTTTTTCTCTGATAGATACTGAATATCCATTTGTTGGCTTAATTGTAGATAACTTGAGTGGTAGTATTGATGAGCCTCTAGAGGATGGGGATAGTGCTCTTCATTTGACGTGTTTGTACGGCCATTTTGCATGCGCCCGGGTTTGTTTGTTATCTTGCTTATTCCATTTTTTTTTTAACTCTTATTATTTTTAAACATGTTGTGAATTGTTGATCTTGTATAATCAACTCCAGCTTCTACTGGAAAGAGGAGCTGATTTGGAAGCTAAGGATGAAGATGGGGCAATTCCTTTACATGATGCATGCGCAGGAGGTGGAATTAACCTGAAATCATGTTTTATATGTTAAATCTCTTTGTATTTTTGGTTATGATTTGTGATGTTATTTTATTTGAACGGTAATATCAGGATTTTTGGAGATAGTCCAACTTCTACTTAATAGAGCTAACGGCACCGAGCATATAAAAAGGATGTTAGAATCGGTTGATTCGGAGGGTGATACTGTGAGTATTTATTTACCCGTAAAATTTGAGTTCATATTCATGAAGCTAAAGTCAATCATTCAGCGATAAATATACAGGGTACTAATGTATAGAGACACGAGTAGAGATATCGGCTCAATCCCAATTCCTAATCCTATTTCATATTTTGTTTACTTAATTTCTCCTGATTTGTTCGCCATATCTTGTGACCATTTTTGCAGCCTCTTCATCATGCTGCAAGAGGTGAGCATGCTGATGTAATTAGGTTGTTGCTGTCTAATGGTGCATCAGCCACAAAGGAAAACTTATATGGAAAGGTATATTTGTTGCTTTTAAATGAATTTAGGAACTATGCATTCTTTGCTCCTAAAGGAATTTAATAACTATCCATTCCTTGCTCTTAACATTTGCTAATGTATTTTTTGGCAGACCCCTGCAGAGTTACCCGAACAAGGCACAAATGCTAGAAGGCTGCTTGAAGCTGCTGTTACTGCCATGGCAATCTAATAATAGCGTTAACATGGTGATTAGTAGAAATGTTTAGTTATATTTTGATATATAGCCCAATATGTATTACTTTATATTCATTTCTCCCGTTTAGATTTATCAATGAATTATAACTTTGGAGAGTTAAAAACGAGAATGATTGAAGGGTCAAGTTAGGACTACCTTGTTTATTTTATAAGTTTACTCATTTGAACATTTATTTACATCTCAGATTGCAATTGACCATAAAGGGATATTTACTAGTTAGTTACACACTTAAACTTCTAGATTTACCAGAATTGGACCAATTTGTCGGTTCCTTGGTCACAAATTTGCCGGTTCCTTGATTGCAAATTTGCTGGTTGTTCTTTAAGAGTCTCCCTTTAATCTTCATATGTTGTCAACGTTCATATTATTCATGCCTGTAACTTGAAGGTGATTTTTTAAATCACAAATTTGTTGTGAAATCAAAAGTTTGGGAATGGAAAAAAAGTTCAAGACTTGTTAAACATCTATTTAATTTTTGGCATAAAGAATTTCAAAATGAAAGAGTTGTAAAGTCCAAGTTGAACGAAATCTATACAAAACCAGGTCCAAAAGACAGCTTATAGAGAATTACTGTTAAATATCCATATGCTACAATATCTTGTTTTTAGTATTAAACTTGATAGATCATTTGATGGCACAAGGTTTTATTGATTTGAATAAAATGTAAACTAAAAACAATGAATGTAATTCAGGAAATTTACACATGCAAATTGTCACCAGTTCACCATTGTCAAGGTACAATTAATTGAGCAACCAAAAGACATTTGGTGCCAATAAGAAACTACATAAGAAGATTGATTACATAAGAGGACAAGTTCAAGGTGTGCTAGTTTAGGACTCTGTCCACATTGCAGCATTTTTAAAAGCAACAACCGCTATCTTGGGATGTCTGTGGTTCCTGTCTTTGCTTTAAAATGTTCCTTTTCACTAATATTGATCCTTCTTCCAAGAGACTAGGAACTTCCATTATCTAAGAAAAATTGGTTAAGTATTTGTCATCATGATTGGAACACCACAAAAAATCTACAATGAGTTTTAACTGATGCAAGAATATCTTAATTTCCACATGTTTCTTATTTCATTATTATGAATGAACATGCTTTACCTTTTGTGTAAGTTCCTCAAAGCACTTGTCTACATTTTCTCTAGTTTTAGCACTGCATTCAAAAAACAAGCATCCAAATTCTTTTGCAAGCGCCAAACCCTCTTCTGTGCTGACTGCCCGCTCAGATTCCTAAAATTAGATAACATGTAGTTACATTCATTGTCGTGGTGTCTGATGACTGTTTTTGTGTCTTAAGGTATGGTCATTCATTATTTTATCAAATTTAGAACCAAGGCTTCATATATCATAGGAAAGATAGGGGCATTCATAACTTTATCAATCTCAGTTAGTTTCTAAGTTAGTCTTGCATCTAGGAAACACAAGGACAGAATTGAAGTTATTCACTTCAACAAGAAGCCATGAGTGTTGCAGATTAATTGTGGAACACTATAACTCATGACAGGGAAGAGAAACACATGGAAGACTTAATTTGAACGTTGTTTCATTGCCTCAAGGCAGACCAGTCACACTTTCATTGTATTCCACGATTTGAAAACTTACCCTTAGGTCATAATATCTAAACTAAAGGCCAAAACACAAAACTTACCCTATCAACTTTATTTCCAACTAGCATCTTCACACAATCCTGATTAGTTGAATAGAGTTCCACTTCTTTGGACCACACCTCTGATAAGTTTGTGAATGTTTCTCTTCTTGTTACATCATAAGCTAAATTAAAATCAAATCAACCCATAAGTGTAAGCCTTGAATCTATGACACACAAGAAAATAGCAATAACTGCAACAACAAAAAACACAAGTATATCTAATAGTATTCACAATGTAAGCTAGGGACTATGAAACAAAAATTCAGTATTAGGTGCAATAAAGAAAAGATTGCAAATTGTTGTAGTGTACCGAGAATAATTCCTTGTGCTCCTCTGTAGTAAGAACTAGTTAGCGTTCTGAACCTTTCTTGTCCAGCTGCAATTGATGTAAATTTGAAAATGATTCAACATAAACTCAGTAACTAAAAAAAGGACTATTTATATGAACAAGCATAAGGTTTGAGAATAGAGATTACCAGTGTCCCAAATCGTTAGTTTCAATCTCTTGTCGCCTACTGTGAGAAGCTTGAGCTTAAAATCAACACCTACATAACATTAAACAACATAATCAGATCAATTCAAATCACAAATCTGATAAAAAGCAACATGACATGACAATATCAGAAACAGAACATCAATTCATAATTTCATATACTTAATGTCAATTCCAAAAACAATAGAACAGTTTAGTAATGAAATACCAATTGTGGGGGCAATATCTTCAACAGAGCCAGAGATGAAGCTAACAATTAAGCTACTTTTTCCAACAGCAGAATCACCAATCAACAAGATCTTGAAAGAGAGATCATAGCTACTACTTTGACCAGAAGATGAACTCATTCTCCCTACTCTTTGAATGGTTTTGAAGATAATGAAACGCTTCACCAAGGAATGTTTCTATATGTATCTATCTATGTACGTATATATGAAGAAAAAGATAACAAAAGGGAGAGAGAGGGGAGAAGCATCTTTCATGTATTGGCCTTTTTGAGAGAGATTGAGTGATATAGAAGCTAAACAAAACGGCTATCTTTGCCTCATGAGTTTCATAAACACAACACAACAACGTATATATTCTTTTCTTTTCTTTCCTTTTCATTATAATAATTATTCTGTTTCAGGAATTTTTTTAAGGTTAAATAAGTAATTAGTTATAGACATATTTTTTTAATTTAGTCTTGGTTTATTTTTATTTTTGCAATTTTTTTATTATTAAAATTGATTTTTGTAGTATATAAATTATTTAAATTTAGTACTCGTATCCATTACTTAATTTGATCCTATTTATAAAAAATATATACTGTTCAAATACATTGTATTCAACGCATCTAATAAATACACTTTTTCTTATAAATATATTAGATGAAATAATATTAAGAACTAAAATACTAAATTTATATTAATTTTTTAAGGACTAAAAAAACAAGAATAAAAAATAAACTAAGAAATGTTTGCAAGAAGATTAAAATTAAATAAAAAATTTACATAAATTTAAACATAAAAATAATATACTTACAACTTTTAATTACATATTTAATTATTTTTATACATTGCATATGAAAAATAATTTATATAATTTATAAGATGAAACATGTTATCGGTGATTACTCATATTTAATATGGCTTATGTTTTACATTTTAATATTGAAGGATTATTTTATTTTCATCTACTTTTTTCTTATTTAGCATAAGAATTTAGGCAAATATAATATAAAAAATGTATAGATATATAGATTCTATTTCAACAAACAAAATATTGATATTATTAAACCACATATCATATTTCATATTTTGAATGTGACCCTATAATTTTGGATTGAGATGGTAAACATGTATATATGTTTTGTTTATGTGGGTTAATGTTTTAAAAATCTGATTGAATCAGACGATTCAATCGATTGGATTAGAAATCAGAGATGAATATGATTGACTCAATTAATAAAAATTGCTAGTAGGTTAAAATTAAAGTTAAACTTGAAAAATTAGATTGAACCATTTAAAACCATTCAAATTAAAGAATCGGAGTAGGTTTTGTAAAACCACTCGATTCAAAAAATATATTAAATTGATCATTTTTTATTTTTATTGAAGTTTAATATATCAGTATCAAAACTTTAGATACATTCCCCTCACAAAAAAAATAATTCTGTTTTTTTTTTTACAACCATGCAAACTTTTAAGTTTTGTTATTCCATTATAGTTTTTCTTTCAACCACACTCCATCATAATCACGCAGTCTTTTTCAAACATAGTCACGCTTTCTAGCTTAATATTGGTTGTCTTTAAGTCAATATATTTGTTGGTTGTCAATTATGACTTGTTTGTCAAAGTTCAACTCAAATTTATTTTTTTCCTGTTTAATTAAGTCTATTATATTGTTTATTATTAATATTCTAATTATTCTTAAATGAAGAACAACATAATATAATTATGTTGTGTTATTATATGACTGTCGATATTGTTCTATTAAGTTTGTAATGGATTTTTGAAATAATTATTTTATTAAGTTGTAAACATATAACTATGTGTGACATATCTATGAAATTTAATTTCATATTATTAGTTTATTTAATAAACAGTTCAACCGTAAATATAATTAATTGAACCTTATATCAGAAGTTTCACTAATTCGATCTCCAGTACAATTTTTAAAACATTGATAATGTAAAAGTCTGAAAATAAATTAAATAAGCGACACAAACATAGTAGAGGAGTGGGTAAAAAAACCTTAGCCTTACCAAAAAAATGAGACGGAGTGAATTTTGTTCATATTTATCATGTTAATCTCTACACCCGTAAAAAATGGAATAAAGCGAACATGGTAAAAGATGCGGGAATAAAACTTAATATGCCCCATTAAAATTTGTGGACAATATGTACTTTAAACGTGATTTTTGGAGATCCATGATATATTTAAGGGTAAACTACAATCACTTCCTTGAAGTCTATTAAAATGACATAATTTTTTCTCTAATTTTAAAATTTATAATAATCCTTCATAAGTTTATTAAAATGACATTGATATTTCTTTTTAATTTTTAATAACAAATAAGAATCGTAAGTTTTGTCAGTCATTAAAAAATTTCGTTTGGATATATAAGTTCAAGAAAAATTAATGCATATTTTCCAAATAGATAAATGTCAGTGTTACTTTCACATAGTTAAGTGTAATTTTTATTTTATTTAATGTTGGAAATCCAATAAAATTTATGGAGAATTTTTATCTATCATAGTGAACAAGATTGTTATCGATACACAATAACAATGAAAAATTGAGGAAGAAAAAAAATTAGTGTTTACGAAAATAAGGGAAAGAAGATT